GAGGAATTATCCCTTGATTACGGCGTACCTCAGGGTTCAATACTGGGGCCACTGCTATTTTTAATTTTTATAAACGATCTGCCTAGGTCTTTCACGAAATGCAATTTGCACTTTTATGCCGACGACACGGTTATGTATTATTCCCACAAAGATGTAGATGTGATTCAATCAGTTTTAAACGAAGAGCTAGGACATCTACAATCTTGGATGAATGCAAATAGACTCTCTGTGAACTCCAGTAAAACAGTATGCATGCTTTTAGGGACAAAGTTTATGCTTTCTAAGCATGATATTCTCAATTTAGAGATAAATGCCACTAAGCTAATTCAAGTAAAATGTTTCAAATATCTTGGAGTAAATGTAGATTGTGAACTTAAGTGGAATATTCATATAGAGCAATTGAACAAAAAAATTGGGAAAATGATTGGTTTCTTGAGGAGATTGAGGTATTTTATTAATGAGTCAAATCTGAAACTAATTTATACATCTGTAATTATGCCTCACTTTGACTATGCAGATACTGTTTGGCAAACTGCAAATAATAATCATTTTGATCAACTTCAGAAACTTCAGAATCGAGCAGGAAGAATTATTCTTCAGGTTAAACCTGGTGAACATATATCTATTCAGCAGATTCACGATACCTTGGATTGGGAAACCCTAAAATCTCGACGTCGGAGACATATGTGTTCGTTACTGTTTAAAACATTTCATGAGCTAGCACCTAAATATATGACTGATAAATTTGTATTTAACGAAAAGTGTTACGGGCTAAGATATAATGACAATTTAATGCTTCCGAAACCAAGAACCAATCAGTGTAAACGTACATTCTTATATCGGGGATCCGTGTTATACAATGAACTACCTATTAAGCTCCGTCAGTTAGGCACACTAAATTTGTTTAATAAACATGTTCAAAAATACTTCAATTATTTTGATATTTAAATTTCGCAATCCCATTGGCTTTTGCCATAAACATAACCAATTTAATAACAGACTAAATTAGATAATGTGTAGAATATTTTAAAACTAATCAAGTTAATTGTTAGCAGGGTGGGTGATAAGGGTGGGGTCGTATTTTGTTAAATTAGGGATGGTAGGGGATATTTGAATAGATTTTAATGCTTTTTGTTAGTGTTTTTTGTTTAATTAAATTTAATTTGATTTAGTTAAGTTAAGTACGAGTACAATGTTGTTGTTTTTTAAAAATATTTTTAATTACGACTTACTATTTTGTTATATCATTGCTTATTATAGTATCATTATATATATATTGGACTCCATGGAAGAACAGAGCCATTAGGTTAATGGCTCTGAAATGGACTATCCAACCGTTTTATCATTCTATCATTGTTATATAAGTCTTTGATTTTGTTATATTGTGTTATTGTTTTTTATGATGATTTTCGGAAATAAAACAAACAAACAAGCATAATCAACTTATAGTATTCGTAATCACCGCTCAACGGGAGTTTTACTCACTGGTCTATCCACCCCTAATCTCGACATGGCAGCTCACTCTGTCGGCATAACCATGCGATCTTTAATCCTTAGGTCTTTACAACAGGTTATAGCCTCGAATTTCCAATTCATATACCTATTGCTAACTTCCAGAATTAACTAATCAGTTTTAAACGTACTTCAATCTTAAGACAACCGGTTTGTCTAGGGATTCGTTCCTTGCTCTCTGTAATTCAGTGCTTATTAATGGATCATTATCAATAAGTGTTACTAAGATAAAATATACATGTAAGTTACAGCTTCATAAATACATAAGTTACTTATATTCATTTGTACATCATTAATTGTTGAATTGGGAATCTATTTACAAGTGACTAAATCTTATGCAAGTAATAGCGTCAGATCGTATTTACTTTGTTCATAAATATGACGAATATATTTAAGGTACAACTATATAGAATACAAATATTAAATATACAAATGTTCAATATATATAAGTTACAACTGCTATACATGTAGATAGATATATTCTTAAACTACTAGGTACAGGTGACAGACTACGTTACTGAGGCTCTCAGCCTCCTCCTCCAGAAATTCATATTACTGGTAATGTATTAGGTCACACAGCAGATATGGTCTATAGTCATAAATCTCGGTTCAACAAGGTTCACAGACAGGTCAGGTTCAATTTCAATTTCAATTTCAATTTATTTATTCAACCATAAAAAGATACATATACAATAATACTTCATGAAAATATAAAAACATAGGGTAAGGAGCCCCTGAAGAAGTTTGAAAACAAACTTGTGATTGGGGCACCAACCATGGCACATATATCGAGAAAATTAACAAAAACAACATTAACGGGAAAACAAATATATTCAAGAATTTTTTTTATAAAGACCTACATGTTTATGAGGATAAGACATTTACAGCAAAGCACCAGCAAAGGACGCACACCGGACACGACGTCAAGCGACACTGCGTCACTATATGCGCCCCCCGCTGGTGCTTTGCAGTATTACAAAACATTTATATACAAAAAAAAAAAAAAAAAAAAGAACAAGTGGAGCAAGTTATTCATTATTTAATTGAGCGTGGTTTTTGTACTGCAAGAACATTTCATTTTTCAAGAGTTTTTTAAATTTATCAAGAGTTTTACTTAGTTTGATATCATTGTCTAGGTCATTCTATAACTTAATTCCATTACAGCGTAAGGAATTTTGACTAATTGTAGTTTTGGGAAGAAATTGATGAAGATCTGCGTATTGACAGGTGAAATATGAGTGATAGGAGGCATTTGTGCTAAAAAGATCATTATAAATATCTGGCAAGGCATTCGTATGATAATGATATACATAAAGATATAAGTATACATAAGTACAAGGTCACAGACCTTTAATGTTTTACATTCAACAAATAAATTGCTTGTATGGTTAATAAATGGTACATTACAAACTTTTCTTATTGCTTTTTTCTGAGTAATAAAAAGTCTATTCAAGTGTGTTTTAAATGTATTCCCCCAAATCATACAACAGTAAGTGAGATGAGGCAAAATCAATGTGTTATATAATGAAATCATAATATGTCTAGGTAAAGTAAATTTAAGTCTGCGGAGGACACCAGTAGTTCTACATAGGCGAGTGCATAGATCATAATAGGTTCACAGCTCATCTAATGACAAAATGTATAGCCACATCAATCAAACTCGGCTGTCACATATATCAGCGCACTATCATGGGCGTATGCTTTATTATTACCCGTATCAGACATCTGAGCTGGTCATTTACAAAACCGTATTGCCCTAGTTTTCACAAGCAGTGGGAACGGAGGGGTATATTCTTTGTATTTTCCTTGGTCTCCCTGCGCGTATTGACTTTGCGTGTAGAGACGAGTAAAAATATACCTTGGTATTTTCCACGGTCTTGCATTTTCATTGCGCATCTATTATGCGCGCACTCTATTGTGACGTAATAATCACACCAAATACACACTGTTTGTAGTGTATCGAAAATTTTGTCAAGCACTGGATGCACAGTGTTGGTTTGACAAAGTTTGTTCAGTTCTTGAGATTGTCATGGTGGATGTCTGTATTTGCTCTAGATGTCTGATTTGGATAACAATAAAAATATTGACTGGCTTTACTTTCGGGGGATATCAGAAATATTGACCGCGCTAAGACCATATTGCCCTCGTCTTTCGACTCGGGGCAATATGATCTGAGCTTGGTCAATATTTCTGATATACCCCTCAAGGCCAGTCAATATTATATAAATATTACATGTACGCACATGAATATTCATAAATCTTCGCAATAACTATTTCAAAGTAAGTGCGATTACATCAAATAATTTGTAACCTTTATACAAAGAGAAATATATTGATAAAAATAAAGTAAGAGCCTTATTCCGAGAGTACAGACATTCAGAATAATGGTAAGTCAGCCTGACAGTATAACTCAGCAATTTAACAAGTGAAATAGACAAAAATATATGAAAAGATCGAAAAATCAGTCCCATATATATTTTGGTGTTTCAAGTCAGTTTTATAAAAATGAACAAGTTAGATTTTACGCTGACCGTCACAATATCAAATTACATTTGGAGACAGCGTTTAAAAAATGAACTTGTTTTTGTTTTTTAAGTTTAAAAAGAAAAAAAGAAAGAAAAATATAAAGAAGGGAAAACAATAAATGAGCGATGTAATTAAATGAGGTACATAAGATTGTATTACAAACATTTGTTTTTTCTTAAAAAATATTAATTGACGGAGCATTTTTTATTTAATTACTAAAGAATTCCATATTTTTGTAATCTGAACTAAGAAGGTCCAACAGAGAGGTGAATGAAAATCTCCTGAATGTCTTGTTGGGTAATTATGGACTGAGCTATTAAAAAAATCATTACTTAAAAAACGGATGGCAACAAATTATTTTTAACATTATAAACTAGGTTATTCATATACATGAATTGACCTAGTTTGAAAAGAAAGTTGTTTACCTTTGGTATCTTTTCAAACAAAATAAAGACTCTGTATTACAAATTGAATTTCATTCATGGACTCCTGTAAAACAGATAGAATGTGTTCTTATTGTTACGGGTAATGGGAAAATTGTAAGAGTAATTCATTTCATGAAAAGCATAAATAGGAGTTTTTGAAAAGGACAAAGGCAATCTGAATTTGATAATGTTAGGCATGTACAAACATAAATTGAGCTAAGTGTTAACCTGCAAAATGTCATTATTTTCCTTTTTATATTCAATATTTTACATTATCCATTCATTTCCCTTTTCCGTTTTTTTAAGAGCATTCCTATTCACCTTAAATTGTTTATATCAGGAAAAGACAGATAGGCCCAAGTTATATTTTAACACTACGCATTCGTTTTGTGTTATTACGATATCCATATGTTATTCTACAAATAATATAAAGGAGTGAGGGCATAAGTAAGAATTACCCGCACAAGGTACCTTTGAAAAGTCTAACACGCCCGAGGCGATAGCCGAGGGCATGTTAGACTTTTTCAAAGGTACCGAGTGTGAGTAATTTTATAATGCCCGAACAAAATGATGTGTATTATTTGTTTTATAAAATTATGACTTGAATCCTTGTTATTTGATCAATCACCCTCATATCAAACTCAAAGGTCCGAATTCACAAAGGAAGTTTAAATCTAACCTATGGTTTAAATCCTCATTTATATAACCCATGGTTTAAAATAAGCGCAAATTAAGGCGTACCTTGCCTTGCGCGCATCTAATATTGGACCTCTGACTTGTGTCGCGCTTATGATTATCATAGCAACAACAAGCTAGATGTGTTAATGACCGGTCATTACCATTGGGCAATGACCGGTCATTACCCAAATTACGCGTTAGGCAAAATAAATGCCTGGTCACGTGTACGCTTTCAACCAATCATTTGATTAGGATTTACGTCATCATCTTATAATATATATCTTGTATAGGTACGAAATACGAATATAGTCTAGCTGCCACACTAAGGTTTACTTAGTTTTAGGACACTACCGTATACCTTTAACTCTTCTTGATTTGAAATAAAAGTACAGTTTGTCAATAATTTACTCATGGTACCCACTTCCATAACATTCTTTACATCTTCTAAAATCATCAACTAGACCTGTTCCTTTGCATGCAGTACATTTCGGGCTTGGTGGGAATAAATATTTAACAAGTGCTGATACACAAGCACCAACAGATGCTGCACCTATCAAACTCCCTATATGACCCAAAACTGAATTTCCGATCACAGCCCCAGACATGCCACCAAACACACCAGCAACAGCCGCAGCTCCATCCCCTTTACGGTCGGAATATGGGGAAATAAAATTATCAGCAACAGCGTCACCAAGCCCAGGAACTTCTACTCCTGTCATCACTCTGACCATCTGTTCAATGACGATTCCTGCAGCTACTTTGGCAACAGCTTCATTAACAAGTGCGTTAGATTCCAACTCTTCTCGCGCCTTTTCAATAGCCTCCACCAGGTAAATTGGTTCTCCCTCGATAGCGATTTTAAGAACCATGTCGGTTCCGGTGTTATAAAGCACTACGCTCCGAACTTTTTTCTTTGCAGATGTAGCAAACCTCTCTTCAGCCTCTGTTAGGTCGCGAGTCCGGACGCTAATTCTTGGTTTGTTGTCTCCTGTTGTCTTGTAATCCGATATAACGTACCGACCAGCCATATTTGAGTTTTAAATTGTTGCAAGGGAAGGCTGAAAATACAAATAAAAAATAATATGTTAATAAATTATACCAATGTATAAGAAATAACTGGAAAAGCTTATTCTGGGTTCTTCTCAAAAAAGTGACTCCACCTTTTTTTTTTTAATTTGAAAACAAAGTTGTTGACAAACTTGTTAACCATACATTTTTGGTGAGTAAACAAATAAAAAAATCAGGGATCAGCAAAAGTTATGAACTACAACATTCAGTGGCGGATCCAGGGGGGCACAGGGGGCACGTGCCCCCCGTCCCCCAAAATGTGTTGAAATCAGCCCCAAATTTGCCAAAAATGTACTGGCAAACAGGGACATGCCCCCCCCCCCGGCCAAAAAAAAAAAAAAAAAAAATTAGTGCGCACTCCCCCCCCCCCCCCCCCCCCCCCCCTCCGCTTATTCAGCGGCTGGCTGAGTCGTTGCGGTTTTTTTTTTCGGCACAAAAAAAATTAAAAATGTGCTTTTACCCCACCCCCCCCCCCCCGCTTATTTTGGGACCAAAATATATATATATATATATATATATATGTGTGTCCTCTTAACCCCCCCCCCCCCGTGTGCCCCCTGGAAGAAATTCCTGGATCCGCCCCTGCCATTCCTATATTTTTACATTTGAACTATTACTGTAATGTTTTTCTTGCTTTTCTGGCATGTTTCTTACTTTATGCGTCTCAGAGAAATTTTGTTTTCAAACGAAGTATCCCTACCTAACTTCATGAGTTCTGTCTTGATGGTTTGTGATATATAATAAATGATTCAGCCGAAAGCAACTGCTAGTCTAAGGCTCAGAAGTGCTTTTGACGGCAGTCCCTTGTGTGGCTTTTTGTGTGTTTCCGATGTTCGATCTTTTCTAATTCAACTATCAGTAGCATGAGTATTTCAAAATTCAATCAAAGACGAGTCTGATATCGTCTTAGCGAGAGCGATATATTCTTGTATCACACGAAAACAAAGCCATACAATATTATTATTATTATCTATATTAGTCTGACTAGCGAAATTAAAAAAAATTGATTTACCTTGGTAGATATGGCTTTGTTTTCGTGTAATATCGCCATGATACGAATGTTATTAATGAAAATTGTTCCTCCGGTATATAATTATATTACTGTCAGATGTCAGTGACCATTATCCCATCTTTCATCTCGCAGAATTTGATATTTCATTAAAAAAAAACAATATAAGTACAAGGATTTTACACCGTGATATAACTCCTTTGGCTTTAAACGCTTTTCTAAATGACCTACGAAAAAATGATTGGCAAGATGTTCTGGATACAAACGATGCTGATAAAGCAAACGATTTGTTTTTATATCAATTTCAGTTCTATTGTGATAAACACATGACTCTAAAAGAACGATCTTTAATTAACAAGAATATTGATGCACAAGATTTTTACCAAACGCCTCACTCTTTATCTTATTCAAATGTTTTGTTTAAACGAAAATGTCCATGCTTACTCAACTCGACAGTCAGCCAAATTCCATCTCTGGAAAACAGAAACGAATATACTTTCAAAATCAGTTCGTTACCTTGGCCCCATTCTCTGGAATTCCTTGCCTTCTGACATTCAACACACACAATTCAATGAACTTTTGAAAAAACGAATGAAAAGATTCCTTCTCTCTAAATGATCAAATTAAATAATGTCAATTTACCCTGCTACTCAGCTTTGTAGAGTGCTGGAGTGTGGCGTCGCAGCGGCCACACCCCTCCGGCTGTCGTTAGCATTATTCATAATTCATTTGTATACAACTATTTTTTTTCCTTTTTTTTTTTACTCTGGTGATCCCCTCATTACAAGCCCTTGAGGTTTTTTTTCAGAACACCCTTTTCTTTCATTTATTTGGTATTACTAGCTCTTATGTATGTATTACTCTGTTATTTTGATGTAAACATGAAATTATGCATGACATACTGTTAAATTGTTTGTTTTTTAATTGTACATATTGGAAGAAAAAATGAGAGCTATATGCTCTCTCAATCAATATCTTAATCGACAATTGAAGTTCCCGGATGACTGAGCAAATAATACGAAAACAATATCGGTCAGTCATCCGGATGACATACCAATATTGTTTTCGTATTGCTCAGTCATCCGGGTACTGCGCTAAAGATATTAAATGCACTGATTTGTTGTACCACTTGGAAGCCTTATATAGAAAATAATGGTTTACATTATTATCGGAAACTTAAAACTTTGAGTGCCACTATGCCTAGCAATAATATTATTAGACACCGAGCGTTTATCAGTCAATCAAGAAGAGTCTGTTGCATGGTCCGAACGTGCCAAAAAGCAGGAAAAGAAAGTAAGCTTTCTGAGCTGCACTTCCGTATTCTGCAAAATACCAGATATCAGAACACCACACGATTCGGGCGTCATTTGACCTACCAACGAATTCACCATTTATGCCAAAATACATTCACGGGGAAATATACGTGCTTCACATAAATAATCAAACACACAGCAAATCATGTCATTTATCAACTTACTTTGAAATGAGTGATCAAATTCTCAAACATTTATGAAGAGGTGGAGAAGAAGGATGTTTGATTTTGTATATTCCACTGTTAATAAACCTGTTTCGATGGGCGAATGAGAGTATAATCATTTATTAGAGACCAACATGATGCGTGTGGTGTATTGTGCCAATGCGGGAAGTTTAGTATCTTATTTGTGTCACGTGTAGTCGACAGAGACTTCCGTTATGCCTCAGTCACACCGTAGACGTAGGTCTATGGTCACACCTTAGTGTATATTGCTTGCGTATTGCTGCGTGTTTATGGCAAGCCATTTTAACATCTAGTCCTATTTCTTGATATCAAGAAATGACTTTCTGTTGTAAAGCAATGGTAATTCTTGATATTAAGAATTCAGTTCTTGATATCAAGAAATAGGAATTAATGTTAAAGATAAAGAACAATTATGGTCATGCGATTGCATTGTGAAAGAAACGTTGTGGAATCGATCAGAAAAGGTTGATCATCTAGCATATAAGTATTGGTGTGTACTGTAAGGTTCTGGAATCATCAAAATAATAAGAAATTTGGCCCAGTCTTCGTAAAGTTACAAGCACTGTACACAGAAAGATGTATATAGGACTATACGCACACGTGCGTTTGTCTCTCACACACCAATAGATAAAATATTTTACCAAATATATCAATTAGTAGGCGGTTTCTCGACAAAAAATTTATCATCATGTATTAGTCAAAACATATTCTTTCACATGATTGGTAATAAGAGCTTCCATTTCATTTTTTTAAAATTGGGGCGTTTCCAATACTGGTCTTTACCTTTAAAACGGCTTGCCATATAAACACCTAGCAACACGCAAGCCAAATACGCAAAGGTGTGACTGAGGCATTAGGGAATCCCCCGGGAATCCCCCGGGAATCCCCCTACAAAATCCCCAAAAATCGAAAATTGACATAACTTTTGTATCGATTTTGTATCGATTTTGTATAGCATTTTTATCATTGCTCGTATCCATGCCGAATTTCACGCACGAATGATCACGCATGATATAAATACAGCCCTCTAAAGTTCTAAAAATGGCTTTCTTTCTGTGGGGCCGTAGCTCCATTGTGACATACCCCATCACTGACCGACTTTGCGAAAATCGCCTTCCTAATACTCAGTTTTAAAGAAAATTTCGAAATACCTTCAACTTGCTCACTAAAAATGGCAATCTTTATACCTCTTCTACGAGGTTCCTGGTAGTAATAGTAGATGATAAACTTCATGGAAGCTGCATGTTGATGTTTGTAAAATAATCTCTAGAAATATTGGTATTTTGAACAAGGTAAGATTGTAATTTACATCTTGTATACTGCTTAATTTGTACTTCACCTAAGTACTTCCTTGGTTGCATTATGGAATACTTGCCGTAGGCACATGTGGAATACTCAACTTGATAGAATTTCCTGATACAAAAGAAACCAATGCGAATCACGTGTCACACCAATTTGCGCGATCATAAACTCATGAACTCTTTCTCCGCAAATAATGTTTTGAAGATAAAGAACTAACTTATTTCCTTTGAACCTTTATGTACACACTTCAGACAAATCAATTGCCTCAAGTTCTATCATACTAAATTCCATTTGGCGTGTCCCCCTTGGCAAACAGGGGGTGTTTCAGGTGTTCACACCCCTGGGGGTTGTTTTAGACTTTTAAAGACATCATTTATCTGTGTTTCAGTCAGTGGTTTACAAATGGCGGAAGAAAAAGTAAAACATATTTTGTGGGTTTTTTTGTGCTCAAGGGGGGGGGGGGATTTTTTTAAAAACCCAATTCGTGAGATATTTAGCGGCGAATCAACCAGCCGGCGAATAAGCGGGGGAGGGGGGAAGCACTTTTTTCGCTCAACGAGGGGGGGGGGGTCCTTTTTTCTCTCAACTTCCACCCCTCCCCCTTTGACTTCTTTTTTTTTTGCCAGGAGGGGGCATAGATAAAACACAGACACACTAAAGCACACACTCTCTCTATCTCTGCTACAAGGGTTATCATTTGATATTATTTCCATCATCTGTAATTTGTTGTGTATACACCAATGTTAAAGACAGCCTTTTTGTTTTGTAGCATAGAGGGGAGGGGGGGGGGTGTAGGATTTCCTAAGCATTTTTATACATATATTTTCTAATTATATCACAGAGCACTTGTAATTTTTTTATTCTCAAGGGGTCTATAAAATACGAGCCGTGCTTTTTTAATAGACGCATGCACTATATTACACCACTGTGCCAATTCTAAAGGGTATATTTGAATAATTGTTTAATCATTTGTAGTATCTTTGGTTAATATTATGTTATTGAATTTGTATATACTGCATATTCATTTGATAATGTTATATTATGTGGAAGAAAAAAAAGAAACCTTGGAAACCTTATAGGTGATCACGGGCATTCGCATTCGCAAATAGGTCTGGAGTTTCGTAACATGTTCATTCGAGTGGATACGTCGCCGGACTGTCGATCACAAGGTCCGCGGTTCGAGTCCCGCCGCTGCACTAATGTCCTTTGGCAAGACATTGATCTACATTTGCCACACTCCACCCAGGTGAAGTAAATGGGTACCTGGTAGGAATTTATTCCTTGAAAGGCAGTGCGCGTAACAGCTGCACTGCTAAAGCCAGGGTAATTATGCTGCATTATTGTAGAGCGCTTATAGAGACTTCTGACAAAGTAAGTGTTAGGCGCTATATAAGCACTATAATTATTAAATTGACATGCATGCTTATTTGCCATGATTCCTTTGAAATTCCATAAGAATGTATTGATTTTGATATATTCATTGTCCATGTCGGACGCGCTCTTAACCTGGTAGGCTTTTAATGACCCTCGGCTGCACCTGAATTGTTGTATATAGTTCTTTTAAAAAAAAAATTATATACACTGTGACTGTTGGTCATAAAGGTAGAATACATATTTTTTTACCCCAATTTATGGAATGATTTTGACAATGATTTATTCCTAATAGATCTAGATTATAATTTACTTTCTCAGATTTTATTGAATGATAATTTACGAGCGTTTATTTATCGTGACTGCTAAAGCATGTGTATGCTACTATGCTTATTAACTAGGGGACCTACGTCCTTAAGTCATATCTGACAGTAATGAGGATTAATGCCTCACAAAAGTGCACTAATATAGCACATTGACATGGTTTTGATCCTGGGGCCTCACAGTTACGAGGCAATTGCTTTGCCACTGAATCATGACTGTACGCAGCGGGGGCTAGGATAGAGGGTAACCCCCACACATTAAAAAAACAAAGAAAATGCAATAAATTATCAATAATTCATTGCTTTTTTCCCCGGTCCCCAACAGACAAAAAATCCTCTGTGTGGCCATCTCTCGGTGTAAGCAAGTGAATCAGACATCGATGTCTGTTTGTTTGTTTGTCTGCCTGTCCGTCTGTTAAAAGGACGTCGCATTGCATTAAAAGGATGTCACACGTTGCAGTCCACGTTCTCGTCGTGCAAATCTATAAGTTCCTATTAGCCTTTAACCATTGATCCTTGACGTTGGTCAATGACGTAGAAGTAGAGTGTTTTGGACGAAACCCCGATTGGTGTAAAGAAAGTACGTTGTCTCTATTCAAGTGTTGCACTACTTGAACATGCTGTTTTTGGTTTATCCTTTCCAGCATTTTTAGATATTAAACAAGACAGTATAGAAATTAGTCTGTAGTTATTTGGGATTAATATGTCACCCTTTTTATGTAAAGGGGCTTTCTTTAGCAATCTTTTATTTCTTTGGAACTATACCTCGGATAATGGACTATTTTGATTTGTTTTAACTGCTTGTTGTAATAAGACACACGAATATTGCACAACCATTTATAATACAATTTTTAAGACCAACTAGAGAGGGAAAAAATATAAAAGAAAATAATCACAACTTAACCTAATTTAGACAGAAATGCCACTATAAATGAAATAGATAAATATTTAAACTAAAAAATGTCAAGGGTCTGGTGAAGTGATTATTTACTGTGTTATAGCTCATCTTTTATTCAAAGATATCATGTTTTGTTATGTATAAGCTATATGCAGGTTGTTAAAATTGTTGTCAATGGTAAACCGGGTGTATACAAATATAGGTCCGTTACGTAACAGTTTTAAGACCTCACATAATAATAGCATTTTTAACCTCAAATGAGTACCCATTATTATAAACATAAAACAATAGCATTAACTTCCCAGTAATGACCGTACGAATTAGTTCAGCAGAGATATACAAAATAGAGGAGAAAAGAGGTGATTTAATGCCATTAATATAAGCACCAGCATGCAAGTTTGACACAAATGCAATAAGGAGTTTAAAATATTGTTCGTGAGTTGAACATTTATAAAACGATTATTTAAGTTACGTATAATACAAATAACGAGCGTACTCACTGAACCAATTTGACAAGATACAGAGTTAGATTGAAATTCTATTTAGTAGTTTATACGAGGAGTCTAGACTAGACCTGACATTATGAACTTATGACATTGCAGTACCAGTTTAGCACAAAAAGATCAGAACACAAGAGCTCTCTCAGCTTGTGAAAAGAGTTCTCAACCTTTTCAGCTATTCACATGATGGTTACTCTGCGATGATCAATTTTGTGCGTACATGAATAGGCCTTTATGTGTCCACATATTTTTCACAATTTGTTTATACTTTGATTTTATTTCCCCAAAGAGGCCTCCCCTCAGTTTTGTCATACCCTCCTGGACAAAAGTTTGAGCTCTTTGTTGCTCCCTCAATGCATGGTGATACGATCAATTGAAGCAATATTGAATAAAAATACAGATCTTTGCAATACAAATATATGTCGATTCTCTGACGATTTTTATATTACATTGCAGCTGCGATGCACCATGGCATTGCTGTCATAATGACGTCATGAATGATACACATATTTTAAACACCGATTAGTAAAACCTGAAAACCTATCTTAATCTTCAGTTTTTCAAACACACAAGATCACTGGAATAGATATTTTTTTAAATCCATCGAATGTATTCAAATTTACATTGAATTATATGGCTATATAAGTATAGGCTCTTGTATTACGAGATTTAGAGGAGGAGAGAGGAACTATTCTGGGCTGTGTGTCTACCACGCTAAAATATACTTTTCAGATGCTTTATAATTATAAAGGCGCTATATAAACCCAATTGTTATTATTATTATTTTTAATATTATTATCATAAAAACTATTGTTATAATTAATATTATTATCATTACTTTCATGATTATAATCATAATTATTAGTATTAATATTATTATTGTTATTGATATTGATATCAATATTATTAATATTAATTTTGTTGTTATTATTATTAATAATGTATAACTAC